ATTGGCCTATAAAATAAGCAAGGACACCTGTGAGGAATATATTCCTTTAAACAATCAATTATTCAAGATCAAGTGGTCAACATTTACCCAGAAGTAAATATGAGAGGGCAAGGAGGGGTGGGGAAGCTGGATGGATGGGCCAGGCAGAGTGGAAATTGTGAGACTCTGACATATCATAGAGATTGTAACCAAGATCATGAAACAATTTGTATATGAATGGTTAAAAGGGAATCTAATTTGGAATGTAAACTTTTACTTAAAACATAATGAAATATTTAAAAAGAGAAAATGGGAAACTTAAAAGAAGGCCAGTGGGGTTGGAGTGGAAAGAGGGAGGTAAATGTTAGGGAAGATGAGATGGAGAAGTCAGAAGGGGTCAGATGATGTGGGGTGTTTGTCAGTGTTTAAGAAAATTTGAAAGGGAGACATTGGAGAGTTTTAAGGAAGAGAGGGACATTCTAATTGTCTTTTGAAAAGGTCACTCTGACTGCTGTGAGATGTAGGAGCCAAGAGTGGAAGCAGAAGGACCAACTAGGAAGCAATTGCATTTGTCAGGCAAGAGATGGGTGGTAGCTTGGACTAGGACGATAGTAAGAGAGAGAAGTAAATGAATTAAAGAGATGTTGATGAGGAAATATAGGTAAATATGGTGGTGGTGAAGGGTTTTGAAACACACTGGTAGGTTTCTGGCCTGTAAAGCTGGATGAACAGTGGGCCCATGAGCTGTAATGGAGAACACTGGGAGAGAACTGGATACAGGAGGGATAATCATGAGTTCAGTTTCAGATATGTTGAGTTTGAGGTGCCTGAGAGGAGAGGCCATGTAGGCAGCTGGACATATTGTTATGGAGTTGAAAGGAGATGAGTGGGCTGGTTTTATAAATTGGTGTATAGTTTGGAAATTAAAGTCATGGGTCTAGATGAAGTGACCTAGGTGGGTCACTACAGCAGTAAATCTCAACTCTGGCTACACCTTACAATCACTTGGGGACTTGGGGAGCTTTTGAGAAATACCAAGTGAAAATTCAGTTCCTCAGTCATTCTAGTCACATTTCAAGTTTTCAAAATCTGTGTATGCTTACTGGTAATATATTCAACAGTGCTGTTATATAGAATGTTTTAAAAAGGAGGATGTGGTCAGCAGTGTCCAGTGATTTTGAGAGAGATCACTTAAGATGAAGGTAAATGTCCCCTAGATTTTGTGACACTGAGATCATTGGTAGACCTCAAGGAGAGCTGTTTAGTAGGTTGAAGAAGGGCAGGGAAGCCAGATATGAGTGGATTGAGGCATTCACGGGAGGTGGGGAAATGGAAACAACAAGTACAAACAAATCTTTTGACAACTGTGGCCATGAAGTAGAGGATAGAAATATGTGGAAAATAGGGTGTGGGTTTCTTTTTCTTTTTTTTTTTTTAGGGTATAATTTTTTACACTAAGATGCACAAATCTTAAGTATGCAGTTCAGTGAATTTTTGAATATTTGTACATCTGTTTAATCACCACCAAGACAAAAACATCAAATATTTCCAGAAATCCCAATTTGTAACCCCTTCTAGTCAATACTATCCCTAAAGGTAATCTTATCCTATCTTCTAAGGGCATGGATTAGTTCTTCTGGTTTTTAAATCCATATAAATGGACTCATAATCAGAATATTTTCTTTTCATGTCTGGTTTGTTTTGTTTGCATTATGGGTGTGAAAGGAGCTCTGGTGGCATAGTAGGTAAGGCATTTGGCAGCTAACCAGGTCAGTCGTTCAAATCCACCAGCTGCTCCTTTGGAGGAAGATGAGGCAATCTACTTCCATAAGGATTTATAGCCTTGGAAACCCAGTGGGGCTCGCTGTAAGTCTGAACTGACTCAATGGCAATTTGGTGGTGGTGGGGTTATGTGTGAGAAACCCATCCATTTTGTTGCATGTAGCAATTGTTGTTGTTGTTATGTGCCGTCGAGTCAGACCCGACTCATAGCGACCCCTTCTTGGGTTTCCAAGGCAGTATCACTACGGAAGTAGATTGCCCCATCTTCCTTCCGGGGAGTGGCTGGTGGGTTTGAACCGCCAGCCTTCTGGTCAGCAGTCAAGTGCCTTAACCACTATGCTACCAGAGCTTCCTATGTAGCAATAGGATGCTCTTTTTCATTGCAGTGTAATATTCCATTGTATGAATATACCATGATCTATTTATCCATTCTACTATGAAGGGATGCTTGAGTTGTTTCTAGATTTTGGCTAGTATGAATAAATAAATGAACATTTTGATACGTGTCTTCTGAAGGATATTTGCATTCACTTTTTAAAAAAATATATATTTACCAAGGAATGGAATTGCTAGCTTTCATGCGTTAGTAAATGCCACCAGTGTTCTAAATGGTTGTATGAATGCATGCTCCTGCCAGAGATGGAGAAGAGTTTCAGTTGCTTCACTTTCTTGCCAATATTAGGCAATAACAGTCCTTATATTTTTAGTCATTCTGGTGGATATTCATGGCATCTCATTGTGGGTTTAATTTGTATTTCCCTGATGACTAGTGATACAATACACCTTTTTATATCTTTCTTGACCTTTTGTTTTTGTTGTTGTTAGTTGCCATTGAGTTGGCTCCAATTCTTGGTAGCCCCATGAACAATAAAACAAAATCTTGCCTGGTCCTGTGCTATCTTCATGATTTCGATATGTTCAAGTTCATTGTTGTGGGCACTGTGTATTCTGAGTGCCTTCTAACCTAAAGGGCTCATCTTCCAACATCATATCAGACAATATACTGTTGTGATCCATAGGATTTTCATTGGCTAAGTAGATTGCCAGGCCTTTCTTCCTAGTCTCTCTTAGGAAGTTCTACTGCAATCTGTAAATCATGGGTGATCCTGATGGTATTTGAAATATCAGTGGCATAGCTTCCAGCATCATGGCAACACGGAAGCCACCACAGTACAATGAACTGGCAGATGGTGGATTGACTCTTTAGGTAAATTCTTTTGTGTTTAAATCTTTAGCCAATTTAAAAAATTGGGTTGCCTGCCTTCTGTTTGTTTGTTTTGTAGGAGTTCTTTAGTCTGGATTTTAATCCTTTGTCAGATATTTTCTCACATGTTTCACATATTTCTCACATATTTTCCCCCCAGTCTGTGGCTTTGCCTTTTTAGTCTCTTAATAGTGTCTTTTGATGAACATAAGTTAGCAATTATAATGAGCTCCAACGTATCAATCTCTTTTTATGGCTAGGTTTTGGGTGTTTCATTAAGAAAACTTTGCTTACTCTAAGTCATAAAGACTTTACCCTATATTTTCTTCTTTAAGATATTGTTCTGGAAGTATTATTTGACATTGCACATTTAGGTCCATGATCCATCTCAAATGAATTTCTATATGTGGATATGAGGCAGAGACCAATTCATTTCTTTTCCACACGAATCTTTAATTGACCCAGCATCATTTATTGAAGCAACCATCTATTCTCCAAACCACCATCCTTTCTCCACTCAATTGCAGAGATATCAAGGGAACACGTATGTGTGGATCTTCTTCCAAACTTCATTCTGTTCCATCTGCCTGTCTTTTCACCAGTCCCACATGGTCTTATTTACTGTAGCTCATAAGTCTTGACAGCTGATTGTGTTAGAGGATTTTGTTTTGTGCCTTTTGTTTTTGGGGGCACTTACGGGAGAGATATCAGCTCATATAAGGTCCCTGGGTGGTGCAAATGGTTTGCACTTAACTACTAACCAAAAGAGAGGAGGAGGCTTACATCTAGTCCTGCTCCTCAAGTTTGTCCCGAACTAACTAACTAACTGATCCTAGGACAAGGAAGGGTGCATCTGTCTGATTTATACCAAGACCCCTATGGGCCTGTGATGCCTGGACCACCTTCAGCTACCATCCATGTTGAATCCATCCAGCGATGTTGAGGAAGAAAGGCCTGGCAATCTACTGGCATAAGATTACAGACACTGAAAACTTCATAGAGTATAGTTCTACTCTGAAACATATGGGGTCGCCCTAAGTCCGACTTGATGGCAACTTTTTTTTTTTTTTTTTTTTTAAATCAGGTCATATAAAAGATGATGGGAAGGATCTGGTTGAGAGTGAGGTGCTGAATGGAGGGGGCAATTTATACTTTAAAATTTCTGAGCAGGCAGAAAAAGCTGGGATTTGGGTACTGGTGGAAGGACTGGCTTAGATATTCATCTGCTAATTCATTCAATATGAATTTGCTGGGTGGCCTGGTGTGCCAGGCACAGGAATACAACAGTGCCCGAAGGGACGGAGTCCCTGTTCTCAGAGAGCACCCACTGTAGAAGCGGGAGAAAGGTAGCAAACAAGCAAGCAAACAGGTGATACAGACAGCAGTAACTGCTGTGAAGAACGTGAACAGGCTATTGTGGTGGAGAGTGCCGGAAGACTGCTTCCCATTGTGGATCAATCTCAGAGCCGATGACATGTGTGGTAGAATTTAAACAAGAAGGAGCCAGCCTTTGAGAGCTGAGGGAAAAGTGTCTCAGACACAGAGAACATCCATTGCACAAGCCCTACTTGTGCTTGTGGGACAAATAAAAGACCAGTGTGACTATAGCACCGTAAAAAAGAGGGAAGCAGGACGGTGGTACACATGGTTAAGTATTTGGCTATTAGCCAAAGAGTTGGCAGTTCGAACCCACTTGGAGGTGCATCAGAAGACAGGTGTGGTGATCTGCTTCTGAAAGGCCACAGTCTTGAAAACTCTGTGGAGCAGTTCTGCTCTGTACACATAGGGTTGTCGTTGACTCTACAGCAACTAACCACAACAGGGCAAAAATGACAGAGAGATAGATACTGGATCTGCCCAGGGAGGCTGTCCCTTTAGAGCACAGCTGAATGTGGATTTTTATATACATGTGAGTCAGGTGGGTTCGTTGTTGTGGGTGGTGGGACTGTGTGTGTGTGTGTGGGGGGGAAGGGGTCCATCTTGCCTCTTTGTCTAGTTGCTGTCACACTTGTCTTCTCTCCCTGTAGCCTTCTGAATGATGCCAGTCCAATGTCTCCTGACCTCCAGCCTGGCCCTCCTGGTGTTGCTGGACACAGCCACAGCAGGCCCCTTCTCTCCACGGTCCAACGTGACACTCCCAGCCCCACGGCCTCCTCCCCAGCCAGGGGGCCGTAAAGCAGTAGCAGGGAGGGGAAGCCCTTCCTCTCAGCTTTATGAGCACACGGTGGAGGGAGGGGAGAAGCAAGTGGTGTTCACCCATCGCATTAACCTGCCCCCTTCAGCTGGATGTGGTTGTCCCCCGGGCACTGAGCCCCCAGTCCCTGCTTCAGAAGTGCAGGCCCTGAGGATCCGGCTGGAGATCCTGGAAGAGCTGGTGAAGGGGCTCAAGGAACAGTGCATGGGGGGATGCTGTCCGGCAACTGCCCAGGCTGGCACAGGTGAGCAGGTGATCAGAGGCAGGGCATAGAAAGGGAGGAAGGTGGAGAGGTAGCTGAGGGTGGGCTGGATATCACTGGCCCATAGGGAGGGACCTTGGAATAAATTAGAAAAAGCACCCCTTCTTTGCCCTGAGGTGGCAGTGCAGCCAGGCACGAAGGCTGTGCCCACGCACAAACTTGGGGAGCCCAGCAGGCCTAGATATGAGGCTCCCCCTGGCCAAGTATATGCTAGGGCCCTGGGAGGTCACACATATTGACAAGAAGCAGCTCAGAGCTAAGATAGCCTCATGAAATGATCCTGGAGGGGGCCCCCAGACAACCCCAATGCCCCAGAAAGACTGACAGCCTCCCCGCTCTCCTGCTCCAGGCCAAACAGATGTGCGCAGCCTCTGCAGTCTCCATGGCGTGTTTGACCTGAGCCGTTGTGCCTGTACTTGCGAGCCAGGCTGGGGTGGGCCCACCTGCTCAGACCCCACAGATGGCACGGTGCCTCCCTCCTCCTCACCACCCTCGGCCTCTGCGTCCTGCCCCGACGACTGTAACGATCAGGGTCGCTGCGTTCGCGGCCGCTGTGTGTGCTTCCCCGGCTACACGGGCCCCAGCTGCAGCTGGCCTTCCTGTCCCGGGGACTGCCAAGGTCGCGGGCGCTGCGTGCAAGGCGTGTGCGTGTGCCGCCCCGGCTTCTCTGGGGATGACTGTAGCCAGCGCGCCTGCCCTCGGGGCTGCAGCCAGCGGGGCCGCTGTGAGGATGGGCGGTGCGTGTGCGACGCTGGCTACACCGGCGAGGACTGTGGGGTGAGGAGCTGCCCTCGCGGTTGCAGCCAGCGGGGCCGCTGTGAAAACGGGCGCTGTGTGTGTGACCCTGGCTACACGGGTGAGGACTGTAGCTCGCGCAGCTGCCCCTGGGACTGTGGCGAGGGCGGGCGCTGCGTGGACGGCCGCTGTGTGTGCTGGCCCGGGTACGTGGGCGAGGACTGCAGCTCGAGGACCTGCCCGCGCGACTGCCAGGGCCGCGGGCGCTGCGAGGACGGCGAGTGCATCTGTGATGCTGGCTATAGCGGGGACGACTGTGGCGTGCGCAGCTGCCCTGGCGATTGCAGCCAAAGGGGCCACTGTGAGGACGGCCGCTGCGTGTGCTGGCCCGGGTACACGGGGCTTGACTGCGGCGCGCGCGCTTGCCCACGCAACTGTCGGGGCCGCGGGCGCTGCGAGAACGGCGTGTGCGTGTGCAACGCAGGCTATAGCGGCGACGACTGCGGCGTGCGGAGCTGCCCCGGGGACTGTCGAGGCCGGGGCCGCTGCGAGAACGGCCGCTGCGTGTGCTGGCCTGGGTACACCGGCCGGGACTGCGGCACGCGCGCCTGCCCTGGCGACTGTCGCGGGCGCGGCCGCTGCCTGGACGGCCGCTGCGTGTGCAACCCGGGCTTCGGCGGCGAGGACTGTGGCAGCCGTCGGTGCCCCGGGGACTGCCGCGGGCGCGGCAGTTGCGAGGATGGAGTGTGCACGTGCCACGTGGGCTACGAGGGCGAGGACTGCGGCACGCTCAGCTGTCCCGGGGGCTGCGGAGGCCGCGGCCAGTGTCAGGACGGGCGCTGCGTGTGCGACGATGGCTACTCGGGCGAAGACTGCAGCGTGAAGCTGTGCCCGCGCGACTGCAGCCAGCGCGGTATATGCCAGGATGGCCTGTGTACCTGTTGGGAGGGTTACACCGGCGAGGACTGCAGCCTCCGCACCTGCCCTGCCAACTGCCACCGCCGTGGTCGCTGTGAGGATGGGCGCTGCGTCTGCGATGCAGGTTACACGGGCCCCACGTGTGCCACCCGCACCTGCCCGGCCGACTGCCGGGGCCGAGGGCGCTGTGTGCAGGGAGTGTGCCTGTGCCACGCGGGCTACAGCGGCGAGGACTGCGGGCAGGAAGAGCCTCCCTCCAGCGCCTGCCCTGGGGGCTGCGGGCCCCGGGCCTTGTGCCGCGCTGGCCAGTGTGTGTGCGTGGAGGGCTTCCGAGGCCCCGACTGCGCCATCCAGACGTGCCCCAGAGACTGCCGCGGCCGGGGAGAGTGCCAAGAGGGCAGATGCGTCTGCCAAGATGGCTACGCAGGGGAGGACTGTGGAGAAGGTAAACCCTCTCCAATATGTTCCAGAGAAGATGGGGTTTCTGGGAACAGGAGTTGGTGGGAAGGCCCAGCCCAGGGCTAGGGACCACGGACCTGGAGGAAGAGTGCAGGGAGGTTATATATTGGGGGCTGGGCTGGGGATTGGAGGCAATCAGAGGAACCAGTATGACCAGGGGCATTGAAACCATGGTGCATTCTGGCAGGCTGGACCAGCCTTCAGATCCTTCCTGATGAGGTCCTAGCCCTTCAGTTGCTTTGAGGGAAACTCTGTATTCCTGAGTGAAGAGGGACCAGGCCCTGTAGTGCCAGGGGGGGAATGAACCACTGCCCCAGCTCAGACCTCTGCCCACTTTTCCTCATCCCAGCGGAGTGGGAGCTCTGATGGGCTTCTTGATGTGGCCTTGGGGAAGGAGGGCTGTGATGGAGCAGGGGGCATGAAGGGTGGCTGCTTGTGGCTAACAAGCTTCTCCTACCCCTTCTCCTGGGCAGAGGTGCCAGCCATCGAGGGCGTGAGGTTGCACCTCCTGGAGGAGACGACGGTTCGGACAGAGTGGACCCGGGCTCCTGGCCCTGTGGATGCCTATGAAATTCAGTTCATCCCCATGGTGAGTGGGATGCCAAGCTCCAGGAGGGGGCTGGGTGGAAGGACCTGGACTGGGGGCTCACCCCATGCAAGAAGGTGCAGATAATCTAGTTCTTGAGTCCAGATGGCTGGACTCCAGAAGCTTCTGTAAAAGTCTTCTCACCCTACCCTACACGTGGTGCAGAAAGGCTCTGCAGCATCCCAGGCAGACCCTGGCCCAGTGCAGCTGGGACACATCTGTGACAATGAGCTCAGTACTTCCTGAGGCTGTCTAGTTCATTACTGGCATCACTGCTAGACAGTTCTTTTTATGACTGTCAAATAGAAATCTGCTCTATTTTAATGCCCATCCACTGGCCCCACCTGGGCATTCCCCAGCAGCTAGACTGTCTGTCTGCTTTTCCTTCCACACCACAGGCCTTTAAGCGTTAGGAGATATCAGCCATCACATCACTGCTCAACCTTCTCTCAAGGAAAATCCACTGGTCTCATCACCCCTTTTTCCTAACACTGTTCTCTGAACCCTTCACCTTCCTGGGTTCCCTCCTCTAGTGCTTGCTGCTTTTTGCATGTACCTCCCAAAATGTGGGGGCAGAAAGTGGCCCAGCCTGTCACTTGGATAACTCTGGATACAATGGCACTTTTCTCAAAGTTGGTATATATTGACTGTGGTCATACTATTTTGTTCTTGGTTTTTTGTTTTGTTTTTTGAGTAACCTTTTATTATGAAAGTCATATAGAGCCATGGTAGAAAATATAGATAAGCAAGAAAAAGAGAAAGAAGGAAGGAAGGATAGAAGGCAGCATTCAACTATGTATACTTATTATTATTATTATTATTATTTCAAAAGCCTAAATATAGGCCTTTGCATTTAGCTCTGTTAAATGTTATCTTTTTTGGTTTGGGCCAGACTGTCTAGCTGTTGTAATAATTTTGAGCTGTGATCTGGTTCTCTGCTTCCATGTCATTAGCACATTGCAAAACATCCTTTCTTTGTTTCCCTCCAAATTGATCTTAAAACATTTTGGGGGCACCCTAACAAAAAAGCCTGTGACCTCCCATTAGAAACCTCTCATTATTGAGCTTTTAGGATATGGCTGTTCTCCCGGCTCCAAGTCATCTGACATTTCTACTGTCCAACTCATGTTTTCCAGATTCAGACTCACAAATGCTAGGGGGATGGGCCACGTCACCCTCACCTCTAGATGAGGACTCTGGAAAAATAAATAACTCTGTGGGCCCAGAGCCTGAGAAGGGACAGCCCAGAGATGCTGGCTGTCACCCCTGCCCTACCCCTGCATGGTCATCCTAACTCTTTTCCTTAGTCCCCCAGGCCAGACCCCTACCACATGGGCTCTTTCCTCACTCTTCTGGCAGAGGTAGAAGTCATTACTGGTGCAACCAAACAGCTTTTTTTTTTTTCTTTCCTTCTCTTTAAAAATTACTGTTTTTTCTTTTTATTTAAAAAAAAAATATTTTTTTGGTTATAAAAATAATTTAATCACAAGACAAAAATTTGGCAACCAGGGAAAAGAAATACAAATAATTCTTGACTGTTTCACACAAACTCACTGTTAACATTTTCTGCCACTCTCTTTTTTCTCTGTGTATATTATTACATAGTTCTAATCTTGAAAGGGTGGAACTTTTAAAAAGGAGCTTTCCTAAGAAACTGCAGGGAAAGAGGAATTAAAATAAACACTTGAGAGGAGGAACTTGTGGGCCAGCGCTGTTTGTTGCTTTGAGTAAATACAAATCCATCATTGGGTTTTCTCAGGGTGCAGCTTCCCAGGCCAGAGCCCTGGGCTTTCCCCCAAGACAAGGTCGAGGAGCAGTGAGCTGGCCTGTGACAGACTTGGCCATGCTCTCAGCTTATCTTTTCTGCTCTGAGCACTAGTCTCTGTCATATGCTAGGTCCTCTCTGAGCATTGCTGTGGAAGACGCTTTTGTAAAATTGGTCCCCGGACAGCTCTCTTGGACTCCACACCAGCCAACACTCTCTGTGGCTGGGCCCCTGGAATTGTGCCTTTTGCCTTGGCCATGCTCTCTACGTTTCTGTTGGCACAAAGTGTGTTCAGTAGCTGGCTCTCCTCTGTTCCCTGCCATCTTCTTAGAAGCCTGTCTCAACCTCATCCCCTCCCCTTTCCCAATAGCCCTTCTCTCTCAAAGCCCAAAATCTGCTATTCCTGGCGAGGGACACATTTAGTTATTGGGATTATTTTCAGAACTCAGAAGAGGAATGTTCCTCTTCTCTCTGCATACGTGGCATTGTTGCTCTGATTCAGTGGTTCTTAAAGTATGTTTCCTGGACCTTTCAGCATCAGCATCACCTTAGGAGCTTGTTAGAAATGCAAATTCTCAGATTTTACTCCCAGATCTATTGAACTAGAGACTCTGAGTTACAGTCCATTCACCTGTGTTGTAAAGAGCCCTCCAGGTGATTTGGATATACCTCAAGCCTGAGGGCCTCTCCCTTAAGGAATATTGCAAAAGGATGGCTCCTCTAGGAATGTCAGAGAAAATGTGGGGAAACTGAGGGAGGTGAGCCCTTGAGCCAGGAGGAGGTTCAGGTATTCCCCATCTGGGTATATTTTGCAGCCTAGAAACCAGGGCTATGGCAAGTTTTCTCTGGGAGTCGAGACCTTGAAGCTTCAGAAAAGTTTTTGTTTGGGTCTGGTCTGAAAAAAGAGAGGATGATGTAAGCTCCAGGGACCAGCCAAGGTGGCCAACCATGAGGTTGATATTGAGAATAGGGTTCAAAATTCGCCAGGAACAATAGGTGAAGCAGCCAAGCTTTACCTAGGGACAGAGCCAGCTGCCAGCATCTGACTAGAGAAGGCCACCTCAGACCAGCCACATGGTGCTGGAAGACAGGAGTTAAACTGGCAATAGGACTTTCAGGGCCTGTCCCAGGGGACCTTAAACAACAACAACAACAACCACCACCACCACCACCAAACTCACTGCCATCTAGTCAATTCCAATTCATAGTGACCCCCATTGGGTTTCCGAGGGTGTAAATGCTTATAGAAATAGATTGCCCCATCTTTCTTCCACAGAGCAGCTGGTAGGTTTAGAACCGCTGACCTTCTGGTTAGCAGCCAAATGCCTTATCCACTACACTACCAGAGCTCCTTAAAGCGACCTCAGGAGGGACCAAGTGGTGATCAAAGCATTCTTGTAAATTGATCAGAAAGAAGAAGTCTAGGAATGAGCTGGTCTCCCTGAAAAGACCAGACTCCATCAGGGAATTCCTAAGGTCCGTGCATGTGCATGTATGTGTGTGTGCATGTGTGTGTGTGATGGTGAGTTAGAGGCGTAAGGAGAGAGACTGAGAAAGAGAATGAGCAAGTAAGTCTGAGCAACTTTTTGGGAAGGATGAAGATTTCATAGGTCCTGAGATCAACCCAAGGCTTCCCTAGGCTGGGGTACTCTAGGGTAGGGTGCATAGGAAAGAGACAGGGGTGCTGTGTGCCAAGGAACCTTTTCAGCCAAGAAAACTCTGGCCAAGCTTCATTTCATCCTCAACTCGGAAATCTCCATGTGGCCATCTCATCTGGTTTTGTACTTCGGTATTTACTATGTTGATTTTCCCTCAATTCTCTTGGTTTAGGAGAGTACCTTTTGAAATTTCCAACCCTGCTTGGCTGAATGGAGGTGTCCCCATCACAGCCAACATAGCTGAGCAGAACAGAGCGTCCTTAGCAGCTCTCTTGAGCTGGACAGTCCAACAAAATGTGGGCCTATGAAAACGCTAACAGATGTCCCGTTCCTCCTGTTTCCCTGGTGGCGGGCACTCCAGGAGACCTGGCCTGGAGCAGGAATTTAGCAGAGTTCCTGCTGGGTCACCACACATCATCACAACACTTTAAATATCCACTTGGAGTGGAGTTGTTTTACAGGTGTTTACTGTACAAAGAGATTTGCATTGTTGTGTGCCATCAAGTCACCCTGGCCCATGGTGATCCTATAGGACAGAATAGAACTGCCCCATAGGGTTTCCTAGGCTGTAATCTTTACAAGAAGGAGCCCTGGTGGCACAGTGTTTAAGCATTTGGCCACTAACCTAAAGGTCAGCAGTTGGAACCTACCAGCCCACTCTGGGGAGCTCTGGTGGTTTAGTGCCTAAGGCATTTGACTGCTAACCAGAAGGCTGGAGGTTCAAACCCACCAGTCACTCCTTGGAAGGAAGATTGGATAATCTACTTCCATAGTGATACCGCCTCAGAAACCCAAGGAGGAGTCAGATCTGACTTGACAGCAGTGGATCTGGCTTGGGAGCTCTGGTGGCCTCCTAAGGCACTTGACTGCTAACCAGAAGTCTGGTGGTTCAAAACCACCAGCCACTCCTCGGAAGGAAGGTTGGGCAATCTAGTTCTGTAGTGATATCGCCTTGGAAACCCAAGGAGGGGTCGCTATGAGTCTGTCCGACTCGACACGATGGCACATAACAACAACAACAACAAGCCCACTCTGGGAGAAAGATGTGGCAGTCTGCTTTTGTAAAGATTATAGCCTTGGAAACCCTATGAGGCAGTTCTAGTCTGTCCTACAGGGTTACAATGAGTCCAGATCAACTCAATGGGCACACAACAACAACAACAAAATCTTTACAAGAGCAGATCATCAGGTTTTTTCTTCTGCAAAGTGGCTGGTGGGTTCAAACTGCCAATCATTTTGTTAGCAGCTGAGCACTTGACCATTGTGCCACCAGAGCTTCTTAAATCTTTGTGTAAGGATCTAATAAAACATAAGATGTGGTCGTACATTTAGCTGAGAGTATGAGCTACCTGAGTACAGGGACCGTATCTTTTTTTTCCCTCAGGCAATTTGTGTGTGTGTGTGTGTGTGTGTGTGAGAGAGAAGAGAGAGAGAGAGAGAGAGATAAATATACGTGTAACAAAACATTTGCCATTTCAATAGAGACCATTTCTTTTACTTTTGTGTCTCCTGTGCCCAGCCACAATGCCAAGTATAAAAATCAGTCAGCAATTGGGAAACATACTTGTGGAACTTTGAGCAGGTGGGCCTTGTTTTTGAGGGGCCTACAACCCAGATGAAGGGACAAGAAAAGTCCCTAAAGGGAAACGCGATGCTGGCTATACCCAAGCCACATAGCCAATGGCACACATATGTGAGGAGGCTCAGTCTAAGGCAGACCCTTGAAAGAAGAAATGAGACTTAAAGGGACAAGTAGCTAATCTGCTTCATCTGTTAGGAGAGGAACGGCCTGAGAAGCAGCCTTCTCGTGTCCAGGTAGTCAGGGTTGCCAAGGGAAAGCCAGGGGAGAGTCCCATGTATGTTGAGTGGAATTCTGACAGAGGGCTGATAAACTGGCTAAAAATGGGAGTACCTGTGAGAGGGGACTCTGAGGTCATATTGCTAGCTATTGTTGAGTTGATCCCGACTCATGGTGACGCCATGGGTTACAGAGTAGAACTGCTCCATAGGGTTTTCTTGGCTGAAATCTTTTTTTTTTTTTTTTTTTTAATTGTGATTTGGGTGAAAGTTTGCAGAGCAAATTCACTTTCCATACAGCAGTTCACACACACACACACACACACACACGTTGTCTCACGACATTGACTACAATTTACCACAATGCAACAGCTCCCCTCCCACTTCCTCCCCATAGTTACCTCTTCCCTGTGTCCATCCCTCCATGTACTCCTGCCCCCTGAGCTGTCTCCCTGTGCATAAGCAGCTCTTCTTTCTCCCATGATTATTCTCTCCAAGGAGTGTATCTACCTCAGGTAAATGTTCAACTCATATATGCCTGTCTTTTGTTTGGCTGGAAGCCACAGGTATGGGTTAAATTCCAGACCTGAAGGGCAGCTAGGGGCCATAGTCTCAGTGGTTCCACCAGGCTTTATCGGATCAGCAAACCTGGTCCCCCCGCCCTTTTTTCCCCCCAAATGATTTTGAGTTTTCTTGGCTGAAATCTTAACAGAAGCAGATCATCAGGCATTTTCTTCCATGCTGCCGCTGGGTAGGTTAGCACAAAACATTTGTTTCACTTAGGGATCTTGAGGTCACATTGCCTGGGTTTCAAGTCCTGTCACTTTCTTGGTGCTGGTAACTTTGGGCAAGGTACTTATCCTTCTGTGCCTCAGTGTCCCTCAACTGTAAAATGGGAATGATAGGACCTACCTCACAGGGTGGTTGTAAGGCTTAAGTGAGTTTGTACATGTAAATTGCCTAGAACAGTATCTGGCATAGAGTAAGTGCTCCAGACATTTTTGCTGTCACCACTCATGCTCCTCAGCTTACACAGGGCCAAGTTTTACATTGTCCCATGCTGAATCTGCTTGGCATTGAAGAGTAATGAGATAAGGGGGGCTGAGCAGCAGGGGTGAGAGTGCCAAACCCTAATCCGCCTGGGGTTTTCTCTCTTGCAGACAGAGGGGACAAGTCCTCCATTCACAGCACGGGTGCCCAGTTCTGCCTCAGCCTACGACCAGAGAGGACTGTCCCCTGGCCAGGAGTACCAGGTCACTGTCCGCGCTCTTCGAGGGACCAACTGGGGCCCTCCTGCCTCCAAGACCATTACCACCAGTGAGAGCTGGAGTGGTGGGGCAGGGTTTTGGATGGGGATCTGAAATTGAAAGGGGCAGAGGGAAGGGCCTGGGTGGGGGCCCTTAAAAGACTCTGATAAGGAAAGTTGGTGACTGTGCAGAGTCAGACTCCCACCTGAGCCCTCCCCTCTCCAACCTGGCTAGTGATCGATGGCCCCCAGGACCTCCGCGTGGTGGCTGTGACACCAACAACACTGGAACTCAATTGGCTGCGCCCCCTGGCCGAGGTGGACCGATTTGTGGTGTCCTATGTTAGTGCTGGCAACCAGAGGGTACGGCTGGAAGTGCCACCCAAGGCAGATGGGACGCTGCTGAGAGACCTGATGCCAGGCGTGGAATATGTTGTGACTGTCACCGCGGAACGAGGCCGGGCAGTCAGCTACCCGTCTTCTGTCAGGGCCAACACAGGTATGGCCGGCCAGGGGATAGGGAAGGACCCCAGTTTTGGAGGCAAGAGCCCCCCTTTTGGGAGCCCAGGTCTAGGGCTCACAGGTCCCTCTAGATGGACTTTGCAGGGTATGTGGCAGTCCCAAAATACCTGCTGGAGGCTTTGCTCTATACAGAGTACACTGTGGAGGCAAAGACTTCAGCAGCGTGTCATCCAGTAGGAAGGCTGCAGGTTAGACTGTGGGAAGAACTGCCCCAAAGAGAGTAGCAGTCAACAGGAGTGGAAGCCCAGTTGGGATGCAATCTGACCCACCCAGATGGAAGAGGTTCTTATCCATAAGTACAGTGGTTGGGCTAGTGCTGACAGTCAGTGGTCAGATCTTGTGAGGACCGGAATTGGACAGGTCCCAGAGCAGCAGTTCTGTTAATTTTAGGGTATAGTGTGGGGAGGTGAGTCTCATAGCGATCATTTTCCACTAATCCTCAAGGTTTCTTAACAGATGCCTGCCTGGATCTTTCTTTTCTTTTCCCGTGACAGGGGGGCACCCACCTCGCTGTGGCTGGCATCCTCTCCCCTCCACTCCCCTTTCTCTCCTTCAGACCCAGGGCTCCACCCGCTGGCTTTTCTCTTCTTTCTAGGGCACCAACAGTGGCGGGTTTGGGCAGGGTGGGCGACACTGACTTCCTTCTTTCGGTTTTTTTTGCAGGTGGGGCTGGGGCCGAGGGAGAGGCCTTTGGCTCCAGAGGGAGGCATGGAGGGAGGAGCTGCCGTAGGGAGGAGTGCGGGGATCTCTCACTGATCTGCTCTCTCCCCTCCCCCTTTTTCCGCCTCCGGCAGCACCAGGCCACCACGGTTACTCGGAAGTGCGCCCCCCAGCCCCGCCCCCCAAGCCCCGCCCCCGGCCGACCCTGAGGCCCCCGCGACCCCCTCGGCCCCCGCGGCCAGCCAAGGAGGAGGAGGGGGAGGAGTCCCGGCCCGGGCCAAGTCTGTCCCAGCCCCAGCGGCGGGCGTGGGGCAACCTGACGGCGGAGCTGGGCCGCCACGGCGGCTCGGTGGAGGATGTGGAGCGCCACCTGCGGGCGCACCGCTACCCACTGCGAGCCAACCAGACCTACGCGTCGGTGGCCAGCTACATCTACGCTTACTTGCAGCGGCATCTGGCGGGTGCCTCCCCCTCTGGCTCCCACGCAACCCAGCCCCACCGCCCTCACCCCACCGCCAGCCCAGACCAGGGCACCTGGAAGCGGGATTCCAACAGGAGCGTCTACGGTCCCTCGCCAGGAGGCGTCGATCGGGTGGCTGCATCCCGCCACCCCAAGCCCGAGGTGCTGGGCAATTCCGCCGATGGCGCACTCCTCGTGTCTCTGGACGGTCTCCGCGGCCAGTTCGAGCGCGTGGTGCTGCGCTGGCGGCCCCAGCCCCCTTCGGAGGCCCCCAGCGGGGAGCTGAGTGTGCCGGGCAGCACGCGCGCTGTCAGCCTCCCTGACCTCAGGCCGGGCACCACCTACCACGTGGAGGTCCACGGGGTGCGGGCGGGGCAGACTTCCAAGTCCTACGCCTTGATCACCACCACAGGTAGCGTGGGCTGGGGCCGCGCGACCACCCATCCTCTGCCGGGTCTCACCTGCCGTCGGAGTCCAAATCCTTGGGCCCCTCCCACTGCCTCGCTGTTCAGATTACCACCCCCGCCAGCACCACACCCTTCTGCATTCAGCTCCTACCTGGCTCAGGCTCCAGGGGACTTTCAGCAGCAACAAACGCTCTCTTGTGTCCCTAGAAGCCACCCCTACCCTCCTTGCCCTCCTGGCCTGGCATCATCTCGTGAATATCCAAGGCCAAGGAGACCCAGTCTTTGGGGCTCCCCTGATGCTTACTAGAGTTCCCAGGACACTTTGGCTGGGATTGCTGTTTTAGGCAGTAGAAGCTCACACAAGGCTGGGGGTGGGGGGAGGGAGTGTGCTGCAGTCTCCCTGGAGTACTTTCTGTGGGGTGGGATGCGCAACCAGTGGTTCCCCACTCCGAGTCAACATAGTGAGAGTGGTGAATACTGTGGTCAGTGGTTACCATTTTCCACAATTTGGCCTTGACCTCAAAGGAACACACTGGAACTGCTTGGGGGTGGCCTTGAAACCACCAGGCAGCATGTGTTTGTGGGGGTGATGAAATCACTACTTCTTTCCAGACTCCCTTGCTCACTTCACATGTGTCTCTTCCACAGGAATGATCTCGGGCTGGGCTGGGGTGGGGCAGCTGTTCTGTGTGGGGAGTTGTGAGCCTCTTCTTCCTCTATAGGGCCCAGATGCCACCTGAGCTGGACGTCTATTCCCCTCTCCCATGCCGTCTCTTTCTTCTCTTCTCACTGCCCACTCTCCCTTTGCATCTGCCCTTCCTAACAGCACTGTCTCCTCCTTTCTTCCAGGCTTCTCACTGCAGCACTAATGGAGGCCACGATCACCACTCAGTGGGGAGAGGGATGTCTGTGGGGAGAGATATGGAGGTCTCTGGGGGCTGATGGTCACAGGAGCTTGTGGGGCAGAGAGAACAAAACCAAAACCAAGCTCACTGCCATTGAGTAGATTTCGACTCAGAGTGACCCCCTTTGGGTTTCCGAGGTGGTCAATCTTTACGGAAGTAGATTGCCCAGTCTTCCTTCTGTGGAGTGGCTGGTGGGTTTGAATTGCCAACCTTCTGGATAAGAGTCCAATGCCCTAGGCACTACACCACCAGAGCTCCAGGAGGAAGAGAAGGCCTTTATTACCCGCCCTAAGCAGAGGCCTGTCTGCTTAGGAATGTGGTGGAGGAGGGTGTTTTCATGACTTGGCAGGCCTTAGGGAAGATAGGGTCACAAGGTGGTGGACCCATGAGTGTCTCCAGGCTCTTAGAGGCTACAGGGCTGAACCTGGGGACTGGGGATTCCTTTCCAGGTTCTCATACTTGACTTTCCTGTTTTTCTCACCCACCCCTCTCCAGGGTCCTCCCCTTCAGGCCTCTTGGGGGCTACTGATGAGCCTCCTCCCTCAGGCCCCTCGACAACCCAAGGGGCCCGGGCCCCTGACCTGCAACAGCGCCCTCAGGAACTGGCAGAGTTGAGGGTCCTGGGCAGAGATGAGACGGGGCACCTCCACGTGGCCTGGACCGCCCAGCCCGACATCTATGACCACTTCCAGCTGCACCTGCGGGTGCCCCAGGGGCTGGGGGATCATGAAGAGCTGCTGCCAGGGGATACTCGTCAGGCCTTGGTTCCCCCACCCCCTCCAGGAACCCCCTATGAGCTGTTGCTTCATGGCATCTACCCTGGGGGCCAGCCCTCTGCCCCCCTCATCTATCAAGGCATTATGGGTACATCCTGGACTCTGCTCAGACCAGGGTCTTGAGGTTGGGGGAGAGGCCAGGGCCAGAACCATCAGGATTCAAAGGTGGGATGACCCTTGAGGGACCAGTGAAGGGCAAGGTGAGGGTGACATTGGGATGAGTGGAGAAAGCAAGGAGAGAAAAGGAGTTAAGGCTTCAGAGAAGAGAGGGATGGAGGGGGTTAAAGAACAAAGAATGGGGAAGGGAATACCCCAGGAAGAGAAGGGAGAGGATGGTTGTCAGAAAGTAGGACAGGCATTTAAGGAGAGGCGCTGTAGGCCCCCGAGTCTACACTTTGCCCTCACTTCCTGGTCTCTTCTCTGCCCCATCCTGCCCTCCATAAGACCTCTTGGTGGGAGTGGGAAGGCTTTTGGCTCCAAGGATACTGACCCTCAGCCCCCTTCTTTCCATCCTTTTCCCACAGTCCCTGCCACTCAAACTGGACAGGTCAGGACTGTCACTCTGCTCTTCTACTCTAGGAGTCTGGCCTGCAGTGGACAGCATCTATGGTCCTGTCAGCCAGTTTCTGTAGGGGATAGGGACCCTTTAGGGTAGGCAGCTCCATAGCTGTCAGGACTTCAGAAGTGGATGAGGTTTGCAGGACCAGTGAAGGGCAGAGCCTGGGGTGGTGCCTGGCTCACATGCCTTGCTGGTCCGTCTCTTGGTGTTTAGGGCGGCTGACTCTCGCTTTAACTTCAGGTGAAGCTCACCACAGGGGGAGAGGATGATAGGGAGAGAGAAGCTCAGGTGGGCTGGGGACCCTGCTCTGAAATAGCAGTGGGGAGTCTCAGGCAGAACCGTGGGAAACAAACTCCCCTAAAGATCCTGTGTGGAGAGGGGCTGAGATCTTTTTTTTTTTAAATTTTATTTTGATTTGGGTGAAGATTTACAGAGCAAATTCACTTTTCATACAGCAGTTCACCACATATACTTTGTCTCATGTCATTGACCAAAATTTACAATGCAGCAGCTCCCCTCCCACTTCCTCCCCATAGCCACCTCTTCCCAGTGTCCATCCCTCCATACTCTTCTGCACCCTGAGCTGTCTCCCTGTGCATAAGCAGAGGGGCTGAGATCTTTGTGAAGGGTGGGGAAGCTGTTAGAAAAGAAGGGCCAAAGCCCCCAATTGGGAAAAGAGATTGAGGGAAAATGCATCCTTCTCCAGAAGTGCTTCTTACAGAGGGCAATGGGGTGGGGAAGTGCAGGTGTCTATGGAGGGAGCTGTCCAGGGTGGACTGAGCCAGTGGGCACTTGAGTTCACCATGCTTTGCCTTTGTCTCTCACACCTCAGACAGGGATGGACACAAGCCATCCTTGGTCCAGCCACGTCTGGGTGAGCTGATGGTGACAGATGTAACCCCAAACTCTCTGCTCCTGAGCTGGACGGTCCCCGAGGGCAAGTTTGAATCCTTTGTGATCCAGTACAAGGACAGGGATGGGCCACGGGTGGTGCCCGTAGATGGGCTGCAGCGCTCATACCCCATCACATCCCTGGACCCTGGCCGCAAGTACAAATTTGTCTTGTACGGGCTTGTTGGCAAGAAGCGGTACGGCCCAGTGGTCACCGAAGCCAAGACCGGTGAGTGGCCCTGCTGTCTGCACTGTCCCAAAGGAAACCTTTCCAGTGCTCTAGGAACTCATTTTGGGAACTCTAGGAAGGCTTCCTGGGGGAGGTGGTGCCTGAGCTAAATCCTGAAGGGAAAATAGAGGTCAGATAGGCAGAGAGGTAGAGGAGGGCAATGCAAACAGAGGGAGCTGTGAAGGGCAAGGCAGGAGAGAGTGTGACCATTAGGACAACCAACTTCATGTTGCCTCTGGCTGGAGAGCAGGGCACATGGGGACTGAGAGAACTGGCCTCAGGGCCTGTCTTAGTCTGAGGGGCTTGGATTCATTGAGGGCCGTAGGGAGCCTCTGTAGGGGCTCAAGTCAGGGAATGACATGATCAGATATTTATTTTGTAAACAGCACTGCAGTGGCTACTGAGGATGGCTAGAGGTGTGAATTAAGAGACGGATGAGAAATGATGGAGGCCTGGCTGGGATGCTGGCAGTGGGTCTGGATGTGGGAGGTGAAGGAGAGTGAGCAAGGAGGCCCAGGCAGGCCCCAGGTTTCTGGTTCAGACAGTCCCATTCCCTGAGGCAGAGCTAGGGCAGTTTGAGGGGCACTTAGATAAACATCTTTTGAGTGTTGAATATCAGATGCATTCAAGATGTTCCAAGTGTACCATCACACTTAATCCTGACAGGAGTGCCGTGAGGCATTCCATTTCTGTTGTTAGGTGCCGTTGAGTCAGCTCCGACTCACAGTTGAGCCTGTGTACTGTAGAATGAAACACTGCTCAGTCCTCCCGGTAATAAATCAGACAGTGTTTCACTGCTATTCATAAGGTTTTCAGTGGCCACTTTTTTCAGAAGTAGATGGCCCTGTCCTTCTTCCCATTTTATAGATGAGGAAAATTGAGGCACAGAGAAGGCAAGGTGGCAGAAAGTAGTGGGGCCATGAAGTTGTACTGCCATTCTTATGTGTCTGGAGCCCAGAGACAAGACCTAAAGATAGGGAATGGGTGTGTTTTGGTTACTTTGTGAAGCTATAACAGAAAATACCACAAATGGGTGGTTTTAAATAAATGGGGATTTATTCTCTCATAGTTTAGGAGTTCATAGTGCCAGCTTTAGGAGCTGGGTGAAAGCCCTTCAACCTTGGGCTTCAGCTCTGCCTCTTGCTCCCGGCCCACTGGAGCTGGAGGTGTCTCTTCACTCAGGCAGCTACTGACTACTGAGGCTGACAAACCCAAGGTCAACAAGTAAAGTGGCACAGTCCCAAAATTATCAAACCACATGACAGGCCACTATTTCAAGTCCAGAGACAGTGCCAAGATTGGCAGGAAACGTGGCAGGCTGCTGGACGAAGACTTGGCTACATGCAGGGTCCAAGCATGCCAAAAACTGCAGAGACCTTTCTCAAAGCTTATATACTGGAAGCAGACCACATCCCTAAGGTAGCTAGTTACTCAGCTGCTCCAGTAGTTTCCACCATGGAGACTGCCAGTCTTATCATGGGGAATAACTATATCCAGCTGCTCAGCCACTCAAAACTAAGCCCAGCCAAGTTGACACATAACCTTAACCATCACAGGGTGTTATCAGTGTGGATAGGAGTGGAGATGGGGCCCAGGGTGAGGGTGTGGAGAGGAGAAGAGGGAGAGCCCATGGAGTCCTGGGGCCACTAATACTTAGGGAAGAGCAGAGGAAAAAGAGCCCGTAGGGCAGCCTGGGGAATGGCCTGGGGACGGGCAGAGCCAGGGAGAGTGCTGTCCTGGACACAGGGTGGAGGGTGTGGTCAGACGTGTCGGATTCTGTAAGGGTGATTCAGGGACTACAGAGTGTCTACAGGACTTAGCAATGGCCAGTTTGACAGCAGTTTCAGTGGAGGGTGGGGCTGGAGGCCCAGTGGCAGCAGGCCTGGGGCAGGTAATGGAGGTGAGGATGTAGCTACAACCAGAGTAGACAACTCATTCTGGAATGTGGGCTGGGAGTGGAGAGCCAGGAGCGGGGTGGGGGCTGGTGGGAGTTGTATGCAGTATGGGGAGGGATATAGGATCAGATTTCAGTGCTGACTGCACAGCCCACAAAGAGTGGAGCATTGGTGATGGGGGCAGGGGTCCCTGATGCTTAGAAGTTGCTGAGGATCAGGAGCCCAGGTTTGAGAGGCTCATCCATGTTAAAATGCTCATCCATGTTAAAAGCGCTCCCTTTTCTTGGAGAAGAAATCAGTTAGTAGTTGGGCCTGGAAGCAGCAGAGGTTGTACTGGAAGTTTTCCCTGGCTGGGTTAGATGTGGAAAGGCCTGGCCAGGCTTCCTGTCCTTAGACTATGGATAGATAGTCAGGGCCACACTAATCCATACAGTGCTTTTGTGTCCTTTAGAGGAAAGCATCCTTTTGTCTAAGTGTACACGCCCGTTGCAGAGCACACGGCTTGGCCAGCAGGGCGCCAGCTGGATTTCAGTCCCTGCATACTCCTTTGGCCACACACCCTGATGTAGTCAACAGTCTATACAGCTTCACACAGCATCCCTGTCAGGGATGGGAGTCCTCCTTCCCCTTGACATGTGCACCTCCCTTCTCTTTACCTCTTCTCTTAGTGCCTTGGAGTGATCCCAGCCCAGGGCCCCTGCCCCGCCTTGGAAAGCTGTGGGTGACAGACCCCACCCCAGACTCACTGAGCCTCTCCTGGACTGTCCCTGAAGGCCATTTTGACTCTTTCGTGGTCCAGTACAGAGACAGGGATGGACGGCCCCAGGTGGTACCAGTGGAAGGGCCTGAACGATCAGTGGTCATCTCATCCCTGGACCCTGACCACAAGTACAGATTCACTCTATTTGGGATTGCCAGCAAGAAGCGGCATGGCCCCCTCATAGTCGATGGCACCACGGGTGAGTGGCAGCCACCCAAGCCCCTGTGTGTCCCTCTCCTGGCCTTGTGCACACTTAACCCTCAGCCAGGATCCAGCCGGACCTCCCAGTGAGACTGTTGACTTTGGAGTCCTGGCTCTACTCCTGGGCTGAGGGGTTGCCAGCCTCCCCCACCTGCTGAGACCTTTGTATCCAGCTGCTCCCCAAGGCCCACAAGGCGTATCACACCTTGATCGTGCCAGACTGCCCAAGAGCTTAGCTCTCACAGTAATCAAATAGTGATCCCCCCCAAGGTGTACCATCTTGTCTAAACCCCAAGCCTCAAACCTGAGCCAGTTCAGCCCTGGCTGGATCCTCTTTTCACAGCCCCAGAGAGGAAAGAGGAGCACCCCCGCCCAGAGTCTCCCAAGCAGCCCCTCCTGGGGGAGCTGACGGTGACCGGCGTGACTCCAGATTCCCTTCGTCTGTCCTGGACGGTGGCCCAGGGCCCCTTCGACTCCTTCATGGTCCAATACAAGGATGCGCACGGGCAGCCCCAGGCAGTGCCTGTGTCGGGGGATGAAAATGAGATCACCATCACTGGCTTGCAATCTGAGCGGAAGTATAAGATGAACCTCTACGGGCTTCGAGGCAGGCAACGTGTGGGACCTGTGTCTGTGGTGGCCACCACGGGTGAGTCCAGGCCATTGGGGCCTCCCCTGCTAGACCCTAGTCCTCTGGGCCTCCCTCTACTTTTCCTCCTCCACTCTGACTCTGCCAAAGCCTCCTCCCTCTTTCTCCCCTACTTCTCTCCTGTCCTCCGTATCCAAGACTCTTAGTCCAACCTCCAGCCATCTCTAGCCTCTAATTCCCTTCCCAGCCCTGCTTTTCCTTCTCTCAGTGAGTCTTTCCTCCACTGCAAGCTGTCCTCCCCACAGACATCCTCACGATTTAACACCATCTTTTCTCTTGTGGGCTCCTTCCCCTACCATGGTCATTTCTGTGACTTCACACTCTCCCACCATTGCTGCTCGGTTCAGAGCTGGTGGACTCCAGAGACAAAAGCACCCTTTTCCTCCACCTCTTTCAGGGATGAAGAGGGTGCCTGCCCTCCCCCTGACTGCCTGTCTCCCAGACAGCTTGGAGCCAGGCACAGGGCTCTGCCAGCCCCTGACTGAGTGCTCACTTCCAGCCCAGCACCCCACCCCATTCCTCCACATCTCCACCTCTCTCTGTCTTGTACTGTGTCTGTGGCCTATGAGGCCTTTCCTTTCCCAGCGGGAGTATATATAGCATTACCATTGAGAGCAGTCTCTGGAGCCAACCACCTGGATTTTAATCCCAGCTAGGATGGGACCTTGTGCCTCAGCTTTCTCATCTGTCAAATGGGAATAATTTTTGCTTTAAATTAATTAATATAATTAATTTAATTAATTGGTTATTTAATTTAATTAATTGATTAAATGAGTTAATCCATGAACAGCACTTAGAACAGCACACCAAAAACTCAAACCGGTTGCCACTGGCTTGATTCTGACTCATAGCAACCCTATAGGATAGAGTAGAACTGCCCCACAGGGTTTCCATGGTTGTAAATCTTTACGAAAACAGACTGCTTCATCTTCATCTAGAGTGCTTACTGGGTTCGAATCCCCAACCTTTTGGTTAATAGCTGAGTGCCTAAACCACTGTCACCAGAGCTCCTTAGAACAGCATCAGGCACATTGAAAATTCTATTTAAGTATGAGCTGCTATTACCCCCTGATCCTCTACTCCCCGGTAATTTTTTTTTTTTTTTAATCTCTTTCCCATCTTGCCCAGTGTTATCACTCTTGCCTGCTGTCCCTCTCAATCTCCCCTTCCTTAAAGAGTCCCCATGGACAGGGGAGCAGATCACAGAAGGGCACTTTGACTTGTACCATAGTCTCCTCACCCCATGGTATGCCAGCTCCCCAGGAGCAAAGACCCAGTGACAGGGGATGGTGGGTAGTGATCCTCCCCAGGCTCCCACCTCCCCCTCAGGCTTTTTCTCACTTTTGTTGAAGCCCTGCCTTAGTGATTCATTCCTTAGGGTTAAAGGGGAAGAAGGGTAGGGCCACAGGGGGGGTGGAGGCCTTAGAAGGAAAACATTCCACTATCCTGACCTGGTAGGAGCTCTGGTAGCATAGTGGCTAAGACATTTGCCTGCTAACTAGACGGCTGGCGGTTCAAACCCACCAGCCACTCCTCGGAAGGAAGGTTGGGCAATCCTACTTCCGTAGTGATAACTGCCTGGGAAACCCAAGGAGGGGTCACTATGAGTCGGGGCCGACTCGACGGCACATAACAACAACAACAACAACATCCTGACCTGGTGAGAGGGCTGGTAGTAGCTGAAAGCACTGAGGAGGGCAGGAGCTGGTAGGGAGGAGTACTAACTAGGTGGGGAAGATGGCTTCACCTTCCCCCCCCCCGCCCCCACCCCCATCCCCACCCCCACTGTCTGTGAATACAGTGTAGAATTCCTCAAACGTTTCCTCTCTTCCCATCTCAGCCCCTGTCTCGGAAGACACTGAAGAGACTCCCTCTCCTACAGAGGAGGAGGAGACTCCAACCCCCACAGAACCCACCACAGAGGCCCCAGAGCTCCCTGAGGAGCCCCTCCTGGGGGAGCTGACAGTGACAGGATCCACCATGGACTCCCTGAGCCTCTCCTGGACCGTCCCCCAGGGCCACTTTGACAGCTTCACTGTGCAGTACAAGGACAGAGATGGGCGGCCCCAGGTGGTACGTGTTGAGGGCGAGGAGTTTGAGGTCACCGTGCAGGGCCTGGAGCCTGGACGCAAGTACAAGATGCATCTGTATGGCCTCCATGAGGGGCGGCGTGTGGGCCCCGTGTCCACCTTGGGGCTGACGGGTAAGTGAGGGGCACCTGAGCCTAGTTCAGTCCTCCCCACAACTCCTGAGGCCCCCAACTTCCAGTGGATGGCCAATCGCTCTCCCTTCCTCCCCTGGAACTATGAAGCTGTGTATGCTTGGGGAAGACAGAGCAAGTCACTGGGGCTACACCAGCTGTGTGACCTTGAGCAAGTTTAAACTCTTTGAGCTTCAATTTCCTCATCCAGAATGGGGATGATAATACCCACTGCACAGTATTGTTGAGAGGATTAAATGAGGTGACAGAAGTAAAGCACTAAGACAGGAAATGGCGCAGCGTAAATGCCACCACAAGTATGCTTATCCTTACTCTAGCATCCGCTCTGTCACGTTAGCTACTTAGTTGGTCAGAATGGGCATGAGACTTTTCCTCAATGTAGCTCAAAACTTTGTTTACAGCAAAGAGGAATATCCCTTCCACACCTTCCAAGCCCAGTCACAGGGCCACTTCAGCCACCACAAAGGACCTCACCTGACCATCAGAGCCTCATTCCAACAGGCAGGGTCCCGGGCAGGGTAGGCACAGTGCCTCCTCCACACAGGCCCTGGGACTTTCTTGCTGAGCTGCCCAGCTGTGATCGCAGCATGAACATCTCTTTTTCCCTTTGCTCACCGAAACAAAGACACATCTTTTTCAAAAACAACTCTTATTATAAGGGGAAAGGTGAACAACATAAAAGCAGAGAAAGAGATAGGTTTCCAGAGCATGGTTTTTGTACCTCCACAAAACCCAGCTTCAGAGTGACTTGGTTGGCCAAGTTTCCAGAACCATCCACCCCCGATTTCTTTTCTCTGCAGCAGTCAGCACTGAGAAGAGAGAAAGGGGGAAGCCACTCTGAATTACTGTCCTCGGGGCCTGAGGTAGGAGAGTGGAAGCTCATTCCAGGCCTAGGACTTGCTGCTGAGGTTTCTCCTGGGATGACCCTTGGTCTGCCCCTCTGTCCTGACAGCCACAGTGGGCTCTGTGAGGCCCTGGCCCCCAGGGTAAGGTGGAGTTCTTCAGGCACTGAGGCAGTATAGCAGAGGAAAACTGAGTTTTGGAATCTGACAGAGTTCCATTCCTGAATCCCCCAGTTCTTCGCTGGGTAATTTTGAAAAATTACCTATTCTCTCTGAACTTCAGCTTCCTCATTTTCAAGATGGAGCAAATGAGCCCAACTTGTTGTAAGTATTAGAGACAGTGATATAAAATACTTAGTGTGTTCATTTGACTTTTTGCTCAAAACTGCCTGTAGATAAATCACTGTGTATCCATGTTCAAATAGCAGACATTTTTAGGATGTGTATTTTAGATGTCCTGGATAAAATTTGAGTGGCCCTTTAAGAAAGAACCGAGCACCCATGTTCATTCTCAGGTCATCATCAGGTGAGGAAGCAACAGAGCCTGTGGAGCTAACTGAGGGGCCTGCCTGGCACATAGCGTATGCTGTTGCCAGGAGATGAAATGCGCAGAGCTAATTATAAACACTTCTAAATTGGAAAAAGATTATCCTAAATGCAGCACTGGGACTGTCATACTCATGAGTAGTTCTAATCTCACCTTTCCCACTAAAGCCAAACCACCACCAAAGAAGTCTTGATGGTGAGGGACAATTTCTCTCCCTCATGGAAGGAAGTATGTTGTTGTTAAAAACCAAAAACCAAACTGACTGCCATAAAGTCAGTTTGACTCATAACAACCCCTCCTTGGGTTCCCAAGGCAGTATCACTACGGAAGTAGATTGCCCAAACTTCCTTCTAAGGAGTGGCTGGTGGCTTTGAAGCACCAGCCTTCTGGTTAGCAGTTAGATGCCTTAGGCACTAGCCACTAGAGCTCCTGTGTTGTTGTTAGTTGCTGTCAAGTTGGCTGTGATGTCTTGTGACTCCATGTGTAACAGAATGAAACGTTGCCCAGTCCTGTGCCAGTTTCATGATCATTGGTATGTTTGAGTCCATTGTGGCCACTGTATTGGTCCATCTCATTCAAAGTTTATTTTACTTTCACTGACCCTTCACTTTAACAAACATGGTGTCCTTTTCCAGCAATTGGTCTGTCCTAATGACGCATCCAAAATAAGTGAGTTGAAGTCTTGGACAATGTTCTTTGATCCATAGGGTTTTCATTGGCTGATTTTTAGAAATAGATCTCTAGGATTTCCTTCTTAGTATTACTTAGCCTGGAAGCTGCACTGAAACTTGTCCATCATGGATGACCCTGCTGTTATTTGAAATACCGGTGGCATAGCTCCAGCATCATAGCAACGTGAAAACCATCTTAGTATGACAAACTGACAGATGAGTGGTAGGGAAAAAAGTACAGAGGGCAAAAAAATGAGCAGGAAATGGATGCTGTGGGAACTAACAAACATAGAAGGCAAATGAAATGAAATAAAATGCCTGCCCTGGTGCCAAGTACATAGTAAACTAAATTAAACTCATTGCCATAGAGTCGAACCCAACTCATAGCAACTCCTCCTTATTTTCCGAGGCAGTATCTCTACGGAGGTAGATTGCCCAGTCTTCCTTCTGAGGAGTGGCTGGTGGGTTTGAACTGCCAGCCTTCTGGTTAGCAGTCAAGTGCCTTAGGCACTACACCACCAGAACTCCCTAGTACATAATACATGCTCAATTAAAAAAAAAAAAAGAAACCTGTTGCTATCAAGTCAATTCCAATTCATGGGCATCCCTATGCCCCTGGATGGTGCAAATAGTTTGCACTTGACGATTAACCTAAAGGTTGGCAGGTCAAACCCACCCAGCTGTACTGTGGAAGAAAGGCCTGGCAATCTGCTTTCATAAAGATTACAGCCAAGAAAACCCTATGTAGTAATTCTACTCTATAACACAGGGAGTTATTATGAGAGGCTCAGTAAATGATGGTGAATCTGGCCTCTGCTGTCCCCCTTTCAGCTCCCATTGTAGCTTCTTACCCCTGCTAGACTCATTTCTGTCTGCCTGAGGCCTCATCATCACCAGTCCTTTTTGTTTTTAAGCAGATTTTACCTCTCTGGGGCCTAGTCTTGTCTTCCCTCAGGAGCCAGAAAAACAAGCTCTTAGGAGTCAAACCCACCTATCCCTTCCACCACTGTGCCTCTTGGGACCACTTTTCCAGATTCCCTCACGAATGAGAGGTGGCTTCTAGACTCAGTACATTCCAGACCATTGGGGGATGGCTGGTCCTGAGCTCAGCCTTCTCCAGCCCAAACCTGCTCACTAATTTTTCAAAAAAAGTTGTTTTATCTTGCCATTGTTAAGAATATACACAGCGGAATATACATTGATTCAACAATTTACTTGTACATTTCCACACTTTACATTCTTCAAGTTGTGCAGCCATTCTCACCACCCTTTTCTGAATTATTTCTCTCCCATTAACATAAACTCACTGTCCCCCTAAGACTGCTCACTAATTTAACAAACACTGGTTGAGGACCTCCTGTGTGCTGGCGCTGGGGACACAGCAGTGAACAAGGCAAAGTGCTTGCCTGAGGACTCACTTTCTAGTGGAGGGAGGCGGACAGCAGGGTGCATCCATGTGTCAGTGGGTTAAAGCTGTGAGCACTGTGGAAAAAAACAATGCCCAAGAGGTGAGATGGTGAATCTGCTCAATAGGGCAGGGAGAGGGGCCTCGCTGAGAAGGTAATGGCTGAGGAAAACCCCGAAGGAGGTGAGATGACAGATTGCACAGTGTCTGGGGGAAGAGCATCCAGGCAAAAGGAAGAGCAAAGGCTGAGGGCAGCAGGCAAGGTGGTGCCAGCATGTCTGTGGCACAGTGGGGAATGGAGTGAAGGGAAGGATGTGAGAGATTGACATGTGGGACCTCATCGGCCATTGTAAAGAGTAGGCTTTTACTCTGAGGAAGATGGAACCGCTTGAAACCCCTCTGGCTGCTATTCTGGGAGCAGACTGAATGGCGAGTTGTGTTAGAGGAGGGAGGTGACTTAGGGAAGCTATTGGGATAGTCCAGCAAGCAGTGGTTATGCCTGGAGCTGAAGCAGCGGAGGTGGTAAGAAGAGGTCAGATTAGGAAAGTCGTGCCAACAGGATTTACTCATAGGCTGGATGTGAGTCAGAGAGGGGTCTCTCAGAGGTGACTCGAGGGTTCTGGCCTGAGCAGCTGGAAGATGGAGTTGTTATTTTACTGAAACAGAGAAGGCTGCATGGGGTGGGGTGGGGGTGGAGCAAGTGTGAAGGAGCTCATGACTCAGTTTTGGATTTGTTGGGTTTCAGGGGCAGTGGCATTTCTACGGAAAACAGCGCCTATGGCAATTAGTTTTAAATTGCTGAATGATCTCTCACAGCTGGTGATGGAACTGTGATGGCCAATAGAAACTGCGCATTGGCACCCCCCCTTAAATGGTGCCCAGGGCATGTGCCATACTCTAGATGCTCCTCTGTGTCTGAGACACCCACTGTACATCCAGGGAAGATGCTGAGCATCATGAATGGGGGGTTTAGGGGAGAGGAGGGATGAATTTAGAGTGATGGGCATTTACATGGAATTCCAGCCACTTTCTCAGAGTCTCTGTGACAGCTGACACCTCACCTCCACCCAGCACAGCCCCAGACACTTGGAGGGACTCTAATTAGGGAAGGGTTGTTGGCCAGATAAAACCAATCAGTATAGTTTTACATCAAAGCTACCTGGGTACCGCAAGAACAATAATTACTACCAAGGGCAAAGAGGGTCTTTTCCTAACATTCCCCCATCTCTGCCCCAGCCCCACAACAGGAAGAAGAGGCTCCTCCAGCCATCGAGCCCCCCCAGGAGCCTCGCCTTGGGGAGCTGACAGTGGCAGATGTGACCCCCAACTCAGTGGACCTCTTGTGGACAGTCCCGGAGGGTGAATTTGACTCTTTCCTGGTCCAGTACAAGGACAGAGATGGACAGCCCCAGGCTATGCCTGTGGGCCAAGACCAGCGTGAGGTGACCATCCCTGGCCTGGAGCCCTCCCAAAAGTATAATATCAACTTCTATGGGATACATGATGGGCACCACATGGGCCCCCTCTCTGTGGTAGCTGTGACAGGTGAGTGAGGGGGTTAGGCTGTTCCATCCCAGGGCTCCTCTCCCAGTCCTGGCTGGGCACCACCATTCCCACACTGAGGGGCTGGGCTCCTTCAGACCTTGACTCAATGATCCCATACGTCCTTTCTGGGGTCATAGACACCTTAGTCTGTTTTCCCAACCCCTTGGCTCCTCCCCTAGGTGGAACTATCCCTGCTTTTTAGTCCCTTCCCTACCTCCCTCCATCCCTCCCCGGGTGGGAATGTCTTCTTTCCATCTGACCTACATCCAGCCCGCAGACTCTCTGATTGTTTACAGCTGTTTCCTCCCCTTCTCTTTACAACCCTGTGGTGACTTGGACGTGGCTGCATTTCCCCCTGCTGCTCTTTGTTACTGAGGATAAATGACACACAGCTTAGACTCTTCTCTCAGAGGTCCTCAGCTGCCTGGCCCCGGCTGCATTTCCCTCAGCAGCGCCAAAGTCTGCATCCCTCTGGGAAGCAGCCCTGTCACAGATCATCCTTCCTGCCCCTCATGGCTTCCCCAGCACAGGCACTCCACCATCTGCGGGCCATGCGTGTGGGGAAACCCAAGGACCACACTCAGAACAATGCCTAAAAGTCTGTACAATGCATAGGATGACAAAGGAAACCAATATATTGATAGATAATGATCAAACTACTTTGTAGAAGTCACATTTATGATTCAATAATACATGGACTTCTTTATTAAGGAGGCTGAGGGTGGTATAAGCAGTTTGCATCCAACTACTAACCTAAGGGTTGAACCCACACAATGGCACTGCAGAAGAAAGGCCTGGTGATCTACTTCCATAAAGATGACAGCCGAGAAAACCCTATGGAGCAGTTCTACTCTGTGACACGTGGGGTTGCCAGGAGTCAGAATTGATTGGATGACAACAGGTTTGGGTTTTGGGTTTGGGCTTCTTTATTCATTTTTAAATAACCAGATTTAGCACCAAGTTTAAGGAACTAATCACATTTAAAAGCAGCAAATTTAAGCAGTATTTTGAAGTTTTGAAGTCACTCTAAGGTGATGTATAAACACCTGTGATTTCCATTAGTGACTGAGTCACGCTCACGTCACTAGTTTCTTACATTCATTTTGAAGGAAATGCTACATTTCAGGTAGAGGTCCATGAAAATAAAGATGTAACAGTTTCCCATCTGAGTCCATGGACTCCCTGAGGCCCATGGAGCGCAGGAGCTGTGTGAGGGGGAAGTTTGCCCTCAGAAATCTCAGCTGCTTCTTTTATTTTCCCGGACCCCAACTCCTCTCCCACCAGCCGCAGCCACAGAGACTCCTGAACCCCGCCAAGAGCCTCGCCTGGGGGAGCTGGCAGTGACGGACGTGACCTCCAACTCCGTGGGCCTCTCCTGGACGGTGCCTCAGGGCGAGTTTGACTCCTTTGTAGTCCAGTACAAGGACAGGGACGGGCAGCTTCAGGTGGTGCCTGTGGCCGCAGACCAGCGTGAGGTCACCATCCCTGACCTGGAGCCCTCCCGCAAGTACAAGCTCCTGCTCTTTGGGATCCAGGATGGGAAGCGACGAGGCCCAGTTTCTGTGGAGGCAAAGACTGGTGAGAGCCCCCATGTGGCCTTCTCGCTCTTCTTCACACTGCTGGTCTTCTTCTGCCAGGGCTCCCCTTGTCCACTTCTCTCTTTCACTTGGAAAGTCACACTGCTTGTCCTGGTCCAGAAGACAGCAGACCAAGGCCAATTCCTGGGGCTGCTCTCTCCCCGTGACCTTTCCTCTTGTCTCTTAATTTCCACCTCTGTTGGACCCCTGAGGAACTTTGATAGTGTCATGGTTAAAGCATTCTGCTGCTAACCAAAAGGTTGGTGGTTCAAACCCACCAGCTGCTCTTCAGGAGAAAGATGAGGCAGTCTGCTTCCATAAAGATTGACAGCCTTGGACATGCGATGGGGCAGTTCTCTGTTCTGTAGGGTCTCGGTAGTTGGAATTGACTCCATGGCAGTGGGTTTGGTTGGACCCTTCCTGGGGCAAAGGCGTGTGTAGGGTATGGCAGGTATGGCACACGCAATATTTGCCTTCGAAGTTTCCATCACCCGCTTTGAGAGATCATTCACCAGTTTAAAACCAATTGCCATAGGTGTTATTTCCCAGATACCCCTCTGGGCTGGGGCACTGGGAAAAGGGCCAAGGCTAGCCCGGAGCCCTTCGTGCCTCCCAGGGTCTTGTGGGGTCTCAGCCCTGTGTAGCTGTTACTTCTGAGGATTTTGCTGCCTCCTCTCTGACCCCGCACCACAATCTCTCACCCAGATACTTACCCTCCCAGCTCAGGCCCATTCAGCCCCATATCTGCTTCCCCCAACCCCCCTCTACCCTGACTCCCTTCTTCCTGAGGCCTCAGAAACTGGAACCTGAGGAGATCTGGGCTGGCTGCTTGGCCCAGCCTGCCTGGCCCAGCCTAGCCCAGTTATGCCCCTTTCTTGGGGTTCGGTCCAGGCCCTCCCCTGCCCCTGGGGGCTCCCTATTGCCAGAAAACTCTCTCAATAACAATGTCGTCAGAGTCCACGCTGTCCAGGAAGGCAGCAGGCCAGCTCCTTCCCAGGCCCCGGATGGCTCCTTGGGCAGACACCAGATCCTTTCCCCGTCTGAGCTCCCCACTTCACCCGTCTACCCCACCCACAGGCAGCCCCCACTCCTCCATCCGGCCCTGCGGGAGTCTCAGTTCTCCCAGGCCCAGCCAGTGCCATGTGAGAAAGGGACAGTGGCAGAGCCAGGACCACCTTCATTATATTTCCTGCGTCTTTCACGAAGGGTCTGCCCACATCAGACATCCTGTGCTCCCTCTGACCTCCCCAGGACCCTCAGATCTCCCCAGGGGCCAGCCAAATCCCACAGTGACCCAGAAGTGGGCTTCTGGGTAAAAGGAAACAGAGATCAAGTCCTGTGATAAGCTGCACCTGCTGGGAAGACGGTCTCCAGTAGGTCTGATGAGCTGGACAGAGGGCAGCTAGAGGTCTCTTTCCCCAGAGATGTATCAGGGCAGAAGACCCTTCTGCACATTGATCAAGTGGAGAGAAGCCTGGGCCAGTTGGGGCTGGTGGCAGGAATAGGAGGATGATGGAAACATTTTGGGGAGGCACAGACCATTTGGGCAGTTCTGTATTTTTCCAATCCCAGTGGGAGGCAGTCGGGGTTATTTTGGAAAAAATAAGCTCAAGAACGTTTCGTCTCTGTCAGCTGCCCGAGGTGCCGACAGCTCAGGAGCCCCGCCCCGTCTTGGGGAGTTATGGGTGACGGACCCCACCCCAGACTCGCTGCACCTCTCCTGGACGGTCCCTGAGGGCCACTTTGACTCTTTTGCGGTCCAATTCAAGGACAGGAGTGGGCCTAGAGTGGTGTCCGTGGAGGGCCACCAGCGCTCAGTCACTGTCACCCCTCTGGACCCTGGCCGCAAATATCGATTCTTCCTCTATGGCCTCTTGGATAAGAAGCGCCATGGCCCCCTCACTGCTGATGGCACCACAGGTGAGTGGGGTCCCCTGCAAGTCCTGCTCTATTCCCCTGAGGCCTTCTGGAGAAGCACCCGGCCCCTTTCCAGGCCACTGGTCACCCGAGGTAGTTGTCATTGTGGTTGGGATTTGGTCTCAGCCTCTCGGCTCAGATCCAGCTCCCCCGACCCTTGCACTAGCCCACTGCACCAGCCCTGTGGGAGCTCAGCCACAGCAAAGCCCTGCCTCCAGGCCTCTCGGTGCAGCTCAGCCATGCCCTCCCTGTGTCTCCATCTTAGAGACTCGGAGAGCTGTGGACCAGACCGTAACAAAGCATCCCCCAAAGCCCCGTCTCGGGGAGGAGTTGCAGGTGACCAGTGTGACCCCAGACTCCGTGGGCCTCTCGTGGATGGTTCCTGAGGGTGAATTCGACTCCTTTGTGATCCAGTACAAGGACAGGGATGGGCAGCCCCAGGTGTTGCCTGTAGAGGGCAGCCTCAGGGAGATCACCGTGCCAGGCCTGGACCCTGCCCGCAGGTACAAGCTCCTGCTCTATGGGCTGTATGGCAACCGGCGTGTGGGTCCCATCTCCACCTTCGCCGTGACTGGTGAGTGGGCTGCAGCTTGGACACCCCACATCTCTTTCCCCACCTCGGCTTCCTGCTCTCACTGAGCCCACACTATTTCTGACTCCCTATCCCCCCCTTATTTAGGGAAGAGATCAATTTTATTTTAATTTTTTGTTGTGGTAACATTTTATATAGCACAACATTTGTCAATTCAGCACTTTTTTAAAAAAAATTGTGGTGAAAAATAGACACAGCAAAACATACAGTGACAATTTCTACATGCACAATTCAGTGACAATTACATGCTTCAAGTTTTGCCAGTCTTGCTGTCTTTTTCTAAATTTTTCCACCACCATTAACATAAGCTCCCTGGCCCGCCTCCCAAGCCAACACTCTCTCTTTCCTCCTCCTTTCTGCTCCTAGTAACCACTAATTTTTAGTTTCTATATATTTGCTTATTTCATATAAGTGAGATCATATAGTATTTGTCCTTTTGTGACTGGTTTATTTTGCTCAATAGGATGTTTTCAAGGTTCATCTAGTTGTGGCATGCATGAGGACTTCATTGCCATCGAGTTGATTCTGACTCATAGCAACCCTCTTTGGGTTTCTGAGGCCGTAAATCTTTATAGGGAGCTCTGGTGGCCTAGTGGATAAGGCACTTAACTGCTAACCAGAAGGTCAGCAGTTCAAACCCACCAGCTGCTCTGTGGAAGGAAGATGGGGCAATCTACTTCTGTAAAGCTTTGCAGCCTCGGAAACCCAATGGGGGTTGTTATGAGTCAGAAACTATTCGATGGCAGTGAGTAAATCTTTATGGAAGTAGATTGCCCCGTCTTCCTTCCATGGAGTGTCTGGTGGGTTTTAACTGTCAACTTTATGCTTGGCAGTCAAATGCCTTAGGCATTACATCATCAGAGTTCCTTTCATTTCTCTTTAGGAGTAAGTCATATTCCATTGTGTGTATATACCACATTTTGTTTATTCATTCATCTGCTGATGGGCATTTCTGTTGCTCCCACCTTTTGGTTACTGTGAATAGTGATGCAATGAACATTGGTATACATGTGTATTTCAACATTTTTTACATTACAATTCAGTGGAATTGATTGTATCAACCATGCAGTGCAACCATCATCCACATCCATTACCAAATTTATTATCACCATTACTAGATACCCAGTGCTTGCAAGATCAGCTTTATTGAAGTATCATTTACATAGGATAAAATTTACCTATTTCAAGTCAATAATTCAATGAGTTGTGGCAAATGAACCCACTGCCACCGTTGAGGCATAATTGAGGTATACCTGGTGGACCTGCATGGTTTCCTGACTGGTGATAAAGAAGAGCTCTGGCCACTATATTGCCTTCTACATGACTGGTAAGCCCAGGGGAGAACAGAGACTCATGGACACCCTGAGTTTCTCAGGTCCTTCTCTCTCCATGTCTCTGTTTAGCCTCACAGGAGGAAGAGGATGAACCTTCAGAATCACCCACAGTGGCCCCCGAGCCTCCCTTAAAGCCACGTCTGGGGGAACTAACTGTGACTGATGCCACCTCTGACACCTTGCACCTGTCCTGGACTGTCCCTGAGGGCCGCTTTGACTACTTCCTGGTCCAGTACAAGAATGGGGATGGCCAGCTCAAGGCAGTGCAGGTGCCAGGGGAAGAGGATGGGGTCACCATCTCGGGCCTGGAGCCAGACCACAAGTATAAGATGAACCTGTATGGCCTCCATGGTGGCCAGCGTGTGGGCCCTGTCTCTGCCATTGGGGTGACTGGTGAGTGGAGCATGAAGGCCCTGGAGATGATCCAGTGGGAGGGTCACCCACTCTCTGGTGATGGTAGCCATGAGACCTTTGTGGCTTTTCCCTACAGCTCCCCAAGGTCTAACCAGTGCCCCTGGGCAGAGAAGGGTGCAGGCATGCTGGTGCCTGTCACTTGTTCTCCACACCTGACGTGGGGCTCCAGGCACATTTGTGAGGTGTTGACCCATCAGGATGACCCAGCCCAACAATGGGCTTCTCTGAACTGACCTCAAGACCCCAGTCATGGCCATGGCTTCCCTGTGCTTCTCCTTGAGACATCTCACAGGGCCCCTTCTCTCCCTCTTTGTGTCTCCTACCTCAGCTCCAGAAGAAGAGACCCCTGCCCCCACAGAGGTAGAGGAGACCCTTGCCCCCACAGAGCCTACCACAGAGGCCCCGGAGATCCCCGAAGAGCCACTCCTGGGGGAGCTGACAGTGACCGGATCCACCTCAGATTCACTGAGCCTCTCCTGGACCATCCCCCAGGGCCACTTTGATGCCTTCACTGTGCAGTATAAGGACAGGGATGGGCGGCCCCAGGTGGTGCATGTCGGGGGCCAGGAGCGTGAAGTCACTGTGCAGGGCTTGGAGCCCAGGCGCAAGTACAAGATGCACCTGTATGGCCTCCATGAGGGGCAGCGCGTGGGCCCCGTGTCCACCTTGGGGCTGACAGGTGAGTGAAGGGTAAAGTGCCCCTGGGTTGGGTCTTGGGAAAGGTCTCATTCATAGAGCCTCCAAAATCTCCTCTGTGGAGACCCAGGGATCCGAAGCCTCCAGATTCAACCCCTTGTTCACCAATACCTCAGGGCATATATAATGTGGGGTAGAGAGAGAAGATCCCAGAAAAGTGCCAGTCTCTCTGGGAGAGCCACTGGGGATAAGCCTCCAAGGCTGGTAGTTCATTGACTCATCTATTGCTCTCTGCTCCACCTGGGAATTCCTTATGTTTTTATTTTTTTATTTTTATTGTGATTTGGGTGAACAGAGCAAATTCATTTTCCGTACAGCAGTTTGTACACATTTTGTTTCATGACATTGACTACAGTTCCCCACAGTGTAACAGCTCTCTCCCTACTTCGTTGATGTAGTTACCTCTTCCCTGTGTCCTCCTTTCCTATGCATTCCTGCCCCCTGAGCTATCTCCCTGTGCAAACACTGCCCTTCTGTTCTCCCATGATTGATTGCTCCAAGGAGTGTCTCTCCTTGATGTAAATGTTCACCCTGTACTGTTTGGCTGGAAGCCCTGGGAGTGAGTTCAATTCCAGACCTGAAGGGTAACTAGGGGCCATAGTCTTAGGAGGGTCTCACCGGATTCTGTCAGGTTAGTAAAGCTGGTCTTTTATTTTTTAATGATTTTGAGTTTTGTTCCACATTGTTCTCCCACTCTATCCAGAATCTCCTGCACTGATCCCTTTCTGAGTGGTTGACAGTGATAGCCAGGCACCATCTAGTTTTTCTGGTACCCTAGATATATAGGCTGAGGATCGCATGGTCTACTAATCCCTTGGACTAATTGTTTTAATACTTTAATGAATCTTTGGTTTTATTCTTTGCTCTGTATGAGGAAACACCTGTTGTTGTATCTAGATAGCTACTTGCAAGCTTTTAAGGCCCCAGTTGCTACTCATGTAGAACAATGTTTTTTTTTTTCTGTAGTATGTTATGCCAATTGAGCTTGATGTCCCCTGCAACCATGGTCCTGAGCCCACAGGTCCAACTACTCGCTCCCTCAGAGTGCTTGGCTGTGGCCAAGAAGTTATCATAACTTTGCCCCTGGTTAGCGCTATTATATATTTGGACATTCTTACATATGTGTACAAATGTGTGTAGAAATATCATCTGCCAACTTAATATATGGTCATGGGTTATTCCCTCTTGTCTAGACATACCTGATCATTCAGCCTGTGTACCCATCTATTTACCTGTAGATTAATGTTTATTATCACTGACAATGGAGTATTGTACGTGTAAAAGGGTTTATCTTTGTTGTCTGTACTTCTTTGAGAGAACTTCTCTTGTGGGATTGGGACAAATACCATGAATATTTGGCCCAAGGTAGGCGGGTATGGGGCGTGGGGGCTGCTTTTGCTGGGGGGCAGCACTGTATTAAGGCTGGGGTCTGAGGTAGGCAGTCACAGGGCTCAGGACTGCTTTCGCTGGAGGGTGGCTCTATTTTAAGGCCAAGGCCCAAGATAGGCAGGCACAGTTGTTGTTGTTGTTGTTTTGCCATCAAGTGGGACCCGACTCATAGCAACCCCTCCTTGGGTTTCCAAGGCAGTATCACTATGGAAGTAGATTTCCCAATCTTCCTTCCGAGGAGTGGCTGGTGGGTTTGAACTGCCAGCCTCTGGTTAGCAGTCAAGTGCTTTAGGCACTATGCTACCAGAGCTCCTAGGCGGGCACAGAACAGTTAGGAATAACTAAAGGAGACAAACTTGTCTGTCAGTTTGTCATCCTGTGGTGGCTTATGTGTTGCTATGAAGCTGGAGGCTGTGCCATCGGTGTTGCAAAATGCAGGCAGGGTTACCCATGGTGGACAGGTTTTAGTGGAGCTTCTGGGCTAAGACAGACTCAGAAGAAAGAAGAGACCATCCACTTCTCAAACAATTGATCAGTAAAAATCTTATGAATAGCCGTGAAAAGATAACTTTATGAATAGCCCTGAAACATTGATTTAGTGCCGCAAGATGAGCCCATCAGGTCAGAAGGCACACAAAATTTGAGTGGGGAAGAGCTGACTCCTCAGAGTAGAAACAACCTTAATTATATGGATAGAGTAATGCTTTTGGGACCTCCATTGGCTGATGTGGCATGACTCAAAATGAGTAGAAACAGATGGAAACATCCATTACTAATCAGAACATGAAATGTAACAAGTATGAATCTAGGAAAATTAGAAGTTGTCAAAAATGAAATGGAAGGCATAAAGATTGATATCCTAGGCATTAGTGAGTTGAAGTGAATTGGTTTTGGCCTTTTTGAATCAGACAACCATATGATCTACTATGCCGGGAATGACAAATTGAAGAGAAATGGTGTGGCATTCATTGTCTCAAAGAGTGTTTCAAGATCTGTCCTGAAGTACAATGCTGTCAGTGATAGGATAACATCCATATGCCTACAAGGAAGGCCACTTAATACTACTGTTATTCAAATCTGTGCACCAACCACCAAAGCCAAAGATGAGAAAATTAAAGATTTCTGCCAACTTCTGCAGTCTGAAATTGACCAAACATGCACTCAAGATGTGTTGATTATCACTGGTAACTGGAATGCAAAAGTTGGAAACAAAGAAGAGTTACTGGTAGGTGGAAAATATGTCCTTGGTGATAGAAATAATGCTGGAGATCGCATGATTGAATTTTGCAAGACCAATGACTTATTTATTGCAAATATCTTTTTTCAACAACATAAGCAATGGATATACATGTGGACTTCACCAGATGGAATGCACAGGAATCAGATTGACTACATCTGTGGCAAGAAGCAATGGAGTAGTTCAATATCTTCAGCCAAAACAAGGCCAGGAGCTGATTGTGAAACAGACCATCAACTGCTCATATGCAAGTTCAAGTTGAAGACAATTAAAACAAGTCCACGAGAGCCAAAATATAACCTTGATGATACCCCTCCTGAATTTAGAGTCAATCGAAAGAATAGCTTTGATTCATTGAACACCAGTGACTGAAAACCAGAGAAATTGTGGGATGACATCAGTATATCATCCATGAAGAAAGCAAGAGGTCATTAAAAAGACAAGAAAGGAAGAAAAGACCAAAATGGATGTCAGAAGAGACTCTGAAACTTGCCCTTGAGTGGAGAGTAGCTGAAGCAAATGGAAGAAATGACAAGATAA